TCACTGTTCCATCAATGAACTGTAAAAGAAAAGATAGGTCCACTTTTTCATTGTTCCATCAGTGAATTTGTGAAAAAGTTCCACTAATGGCTATGGAGGACCACAACCCATGACTGGAAGAGAGAGAGCATTCCTGCCACAGCACCAAGTAGCCAATAGAGTAGAGATGTTTGCCATCAATGAAGTGAACTGTGGCAGGCCATCTGGACTTCAGTATTTGAGCTAGCACAAGTCAGAAAATATTTCTTTTAACCAGAGCAGAAAAAGACAGGCAGAGGTTCCTTCCCAGTAGGACTGTGGGATGGGTAAAAGATGACATTGTGCTCTTCAGACATGATCAGTGGCCAGTATTCCCACTGAGACAAGCTGGCCATGCAGATTAGCCCTGAGAAAGGTTACCTTGGCCTTATGCCTCCAGATGCTTTGGATCCTTATTTCTGTTATCCCTATATAGCATTACCCATGTTGGCTGATCAAGTCTGTAGAGCCATTTGTCTGGAGAACACCAAATTGGGAAAATTGATCTTAGTTGCCAACATAGCAAGACCTGAAATGAATAATGTTTGGGTATCAGCAACTCTGTGTGGGTTAGCATTTCATACTTTGTATCTTGTGTCTGGAGGGTGGGTACCAAATGCAGGAGGGGAAACCTATGTGGTAAGCCCGTTCATCTGATTCCTTGGATTTTGAGGCTGCAGAAATGGAAGGAGCTTCTGCTTTCCAAAGAAGATTGTTAAAACAGGTTGAATGAGCTCCTGATAGTTGGTAACTTCTGAATGTGTCTCATGTCCTTTCTTAGTTGCTAATACCGGATAATAGGACTGCATGTGCAACTCCTTAAGGAATCTCACAAATCAAGTGGTGTTTCTCAAAGTGTTGAGTGATCAAGTCCTCCCAAAGTTTTGGTGCAGTGACTTCAAAGACCTTCCTACATTATCAGCAGAGGGATATGCCTGTGCAGAAGATACTTCAAGACGCCCCAGTTTTTTTCCCAGAACTCACACCAAAAAAGCACCCCTCTAATAGATTTGCATAGCCTTATCCCGGATAGTGGATCCCCTAAAGGAGAAGCAGTAGAACAGTTTCAACTTGCTTTCTAAATGCTAGTCTAGAGCAGCCTAGCTGTTCTTTTGAGCTCCTCTATTTTAAAATGTAAACTGTAGAACACTACACTTTTTTAAAAAAAATAAAAAAATAAAATTAAAAACAAAACAAAACCTTACGTTGCTCTATAAAGTACCACCAGCCCTGAAAATAAATCAGAAATGAGGACTTTTTAGATTCCATCAGCCCTGCTAGCATGATCAATGACCAGAGATAATGGGAAGTGTTATCTAACATCTACAGGAACCACAGTTTTTCCAACTGGGAAATAAGTCAAGGTTTGTCAGCCCCATGAGGAAGACCAGATCTGAAAATCCATCCCACAGGAAAACCAGAACTATATTTTACTGAGATTGGTTATAATAATGGAATCTTGCAATCCTGATTGTGCTTTTCCTCCCCTCCCTCTAATACTCCAGTAAGTCAGGGAGGGGTCAACCCAAGTGTCTTCTTAATACTATCTCTGTTCCCTGCATTTAAAGAATCCTTTTTGCTTACGCAGCAGTTCCTGAATCTCTCTCTGCTCTTGCCAAGGTTAAGGCAACTTAAAAAGGAAGAACACTGATTGATTTTATTACTTTTCCACCACATCATGAGCTATTTTGAAATCCTTTTTGATATGGAAAGAAGTTGATTCGGGTTAATCAGAGGCAAGGGGAGCAACTTTGCTGGTACCTAAAGCCCAACCTTTTCCAGTTGCAGGCCACACAAGATTGAATACAATGAACTGAAAAGAGGCCCTGCATGTTGGGGGACCTTCCTGGGGTAAGGTCAGGTGGTACCACTTTCCTGTGATTGAATGTCATTCTGGGTCATAAAAATATGATGCTGGGAGCAGCTCTTAAGCTCAGCATTAGAGGTTTTAGAGACCATATTTTGGGCAGATGCTATTTTTTTTAGAAATTCTGAAATTCTGCAGCATGTCCTGTTGATTCCTTCTAATAAGGGACATGTATGTTATTTCTTGATGCTCCACTATGCTAATCATTACACATATGTATATACATTTATGCAACAGGCTAGGCCAGGATCATTAAGGATCTCCATTCCAGGAATCTTCCTTCCACCGCAGGATCAGCACAGATTCGGCTTGCAGATTTTACAATCAGTTCAGAACCTGTCTTTCTACCCACCAACCCCCCGGCCACCACCTTTGACAGCTTGGTGACATTAACCGTCAGGTCAGATTGCGATGATGATGATTTCTTCTTTCGCTATTTCTGGGACACATTTAGCACAATTATTAGGTTGTGTGGGGTGGTGATGCTCTCTTCTGTGTTTAGAAGGCTACATAAGTGCTGGCCTGCTCATGGAACTGCCTTGAAAATGGGTCCACAGAGCAGCTGCTGGACATGGATAAGATGAACTGCATGAATCCCCCACTTCATTTCATGGAGGTTTCTGCCCATCCCCATTAGAAATATTGTGGAAATGTTTGAACAGATCAAAGGGGCAAGATACTCTCTATATAAGGACCGCCAAATTAAGCTGTTGCTGTGCAGAGGCTGTTTGAGGCAGCGTACACAGAAATCACTGAGTTTATTCCTAAAAGGTGTTGACCCCAGGCAGCAGAGTTGGGATCATTACAAAGTAGAGACTTCCTGCTTAGATTCCACACTGGTTAGAGTGACTAGATTTGGCAGCAAAACTCCAAGGGGCCATTAGCTGCCTGTGAAGAAATAGATAAAACCAACATTTTGCTCCCATCAAGTGACCATGTGGATTTTTGCAACCCACATCTGGTAGTTCCAACACTATTTGGTTTGGGATCTATCGGTTAGACCGGCCTCTATTTCATTACTGCAATGTTGTAGTAATCCACAGGCTAGGTTTAAACTAATCCAGACATTGTATCTTCTTCCCTTAGCCCTTGGAAATAGTTCTCTAAGTGGTCAAAGCTATCTCAAAGAACAATAAGATAACAGTTGTAAGTAACATCACAAATGGAGGGAACTGCTGGTGTGAGCAGAGAACCAAAAGGAAAACAATGAAGATGACAAGAATGAAAGATTATCCTGCAATAAGAAAAATTGCAGCAAGTTGAGAGAGGGGGTTATATATTCATGGAAGGAGTCCCCATTTTGGACAACAGTTTTAAAAAAACAGAAAATATTTTATAAAGGAAGATGTGCCCCACCTTCAATAGCTAATTCTCAGCAACTCACCAAACTCCTATCCTCACAAGCCATGTTAGTTCCTTTGGCAGACAATGTGTGCATATATTTATAGTGAAGGCATTTGCAGCATGGATGGATAAGAGGCAGCTTCTTTTCCAATAAATAAATTAAAATTCCAACGTGAAACCTTTTTCTATTTTAGTATATTTTCCCACCCATTATCATTTAGTATTTACCTTTTCCTTCCCAACCTCATCTCTGCTTTGTGATATGGAGGAGGGTAATTCTCATTTTGAGGGGCAGTTGGATTCTTTTTGGCTACACTGTTATTGCCTGCAAGAAATTTACAAAGCATGAAAGACAGGGCACCTTCTGAAATACGCAAGGGACAAGCAACCGATTCCTAGTTAATTCCCTTCAACGCCTTGGGATACATATCTGCCCTTTAGTTCCAATTGTTCTTGTTGGATGGATAGTTAAGTGGAGGATGAAAGGAAAGGAAGGGCAAAAACCTAAAGAGAATGCATCAAGACATGTAAAGAAAAAGCAGAAAGGAAGCTGATTGCAAAAAAAGAAAAAAAGTCTTGCCAAGGCAGGTTGGTGTCAGTCAACCTACAGACATGAGCAATCATTCAGATGAACTCTCTGAAATGGCATAAGTTTGCATAGGCCAGTCTTGCTGTCAGATGTACATTCAGTGCATATATGTGTGCACATTGATGTCTCAGTGTTTACCCACAGAGTTACGCCCCCTTCTATGGGAGTACCAAACACAGCCAATAAGGGACGCAGTTGATGTGAAGAGTAGAAAACCATAGGCATGACTGTGAAAAGTGTGCTCACTCCATTCCTTAACCAGGGACACACGTTTGTGCAGATACTGTTGGAAATAGCATATTATTTATTTGTTTGTTTGTGTATTAATAATATTTAAAACCCACTCCAAACCTTAAGGACAGAAGGGTGAGGGGGGGACCATAAAAATATATGTCATTATAATTATAATCAAATACTAAACAATGGGTTGAAAGTACTTTTAACGAGTATTGCTTTAAGATGTTTCTGAAAGGGTTGAGGATGCTTGACCCTCTAGGGGTAGAGGGGTCTATCGAGTGGGGGGCTGTTATTTATTTATTTATTTATTTATTTTTCACATTTAGATATCGCCCATCTCACAAAGAAGTGACTCTGGGTGGTTCACAATGAAACAAACAGATATTGCCTGATTTATCCTAGTCCTACACCATATAGGGCTTTAAAGGTAACAACCAGAGCTTTGAATTGGGCCCAGAAGCCAACTGGTTGCAAGGACTTCGAAACTTGGATTATTCTAACTGGATGGGGTTATCTCACCAGCAATCTTGTACGCACATTTTATGCCAGGTTGCAGATTCTGGGTTGTGTCCAAAGCTTTCCCCATGTAGAATGCCTTATAGTAGTTCAGTTCAGTACAGTACAGAATTGAAGGAGGGGAGACCTGGTAAAAATTGTCCTAATGATGTTTTCCTTGCAGTGCTGAAGGGTTTTCCCAGTGATCTGGCAGGAATTTCCATTCTCCTGATTGCTCTGTGGAATATGGGTGTTCGGCCCTGAGAGACAGCAAATCACCCTAAACCATTTGAATGTCCAATTCCCTCAGAAAGAAAATTAACCCAAACCTAATAAATTTTATCAACTTATTTGAAGTAACCTGTGCTTATTCTGCCTAGAATAATGACTGAGTCCCTTGCTGCTTTTGTCTGTCTGTCTGTCTGTTTGTTTGTTTGTTTTGTTCCACAGCCTAATTTAGGTGGAGTGATTTATATAGGTCCGGCTGCCCCCATCGGTTCTCCTTTGTGGAAGTATTTTGCCCATTCATCTTCCCATTTCAAGCTCCTGACTCAGGCATCTCTGACTCCCATTACCTTCCTCTAGCATCTCACTGAGGATCAATGAATGAAACTGGCTTATTTTCAAAGCACTCTACAGCAAAAGAAAAATTATGTTGTGATTCATTGCTCCAAGAAGGGAACAGCTTGGATCTTCAGAACTTCTCTAAATTTTACATCTGATTATGCCGTAGATCTCTCTATATTGAAAAGGGCCCTTGTCTCATTTTAATCATTAGTGGGCATGTAAACTTCATTGGCTATTGATATTATCTGATAAACTCCTTAATGCTGGCATAACATAAATCAGGAACTAACAACCCTCCACTGAACATAAAGCAGGAACTAAGAAGACTGCATTTTCTTCTGTGGGACCTGAGTATTAAAGTCACACCCACAAGCATGCTGCTTAAACCCTACTGAAGTCAATGGCCTTTGACTAATTGTGTTTAGGATTTCAATTCTAAGCTTTAAGGACTATAATAATATATGTGCCTTGACACAAATGAAGAGCAATCAAGTTTCACAGATACCATCCCCTTTCCCCCAGATTAACACAAGATTACATACAAGCCTTATCTGATGCCCCACCTCCAGAGCTTTTTCAAATCTCCTTTCTGCAACCCCCAAATCCGACTGAGCCAGGCAATTTGTACTCCTTTGCATGGGTAAACATTAGATTCACCAAGAATGATGGAACAGAATTATTTACTGCCCATGTTTATTGTCCTTTCCATTTATCTTCCCATGCGAAGAAGATCTTGTTCTTCTACCAATCGCCTTTTCAGCCTGGTTAGTGCTGTATTTAATTATGTGATCACATACCAATTTTTCCCTTCCAAAGAAGGCCTCTCCTTCTCATGGATGAAAAATTGGCTTGAAACTGATTTAACCCCAGAGTAGTACTTCCTTTATGACTAGGATGAAGATGGATAAAATCTTGTCTACAACAGAGGTCCAAACTAAATCAGGAGATTCCACTTCATACTGAGGTCACACTTAATTGTTTTTTTTCAGGAAGTGCAAATAATTCCTGGGGTGTTATATGCATATTTGTTATTATTTCTTAGTTAATGTGAAGAAAAAATGTGTGTTAGTTCTGGAATACTTGCTTACACCGCAGTTTTGCCTTTTTTAGGGATATCCACAGGGTGAATCAAAAAAGTCAAGATGACAGCCATGACAGTATGATTCACACACACACACACACACACACCCTGGTTAGGTGCACAGTGCATACAAAAAGAGGGAGAGCTTCAAATCTGCGGTTGTGGCCACCACATTGACTTTTTTTTTTGTTTTACACCTTTCCTGCAGACACTCTTTTGTCTATCTTGCCATTCCTTATGCTATTGATGGGATGCTGTTTATGGAAATCAGTTAAAATAATGTTACAATCTTTGCTTTATTATTGTACATTGGGCATCAAGGGGATGGCAAATAAAATACACTTAAGCGAAATCAGTGTTTTTCTTTCTAACCTAATGATTTGCTTTGTGTTAATATCTGTCATTTACCTCCAGTACGGAAATGATTGTGCCTGAACAGATGCAAAGCTGTCTTGGAAAGACCACAGCCAACATATATCACCATGCTTTTTTGAGAGAGAAAAAAAGAACTTACCTCTTACAAGGTCAACAAGAGGAAAAAATGCATATAAACAACTCTGGGTCAGTCAAAAAAAAATGTTAAACTATAATCAATGCACTGCATTGCCAGAAGAATGGAAAAATCAATGAAATGACACAGGGCATCTATAATCAATCAGTCAATCACCCCAGTTTATGTGCCACAAATTCTAAATACCAGGGTTGTGTTTATGGTTTTTTTTTTTTTTTTACATTTCTTTCCTTATACCTTGCCTTTTTCCTTCAGCAAATTCTCAAGTCAACTACCAAAATGTTTTTTTAAAAGAATGCAAAAAATGTAACACTACAAGTTAATAAACAGATAATAGCCTGATAAAAGAGAGGCTTATTTACAGGTTTCTAAAATGCTGAAAGAATGAGGGACAGAAGGAACTTCTGAAGGATGACCATCTGAAGCTTGGAAGCAATGAAAACCATCTTTGCATGTAGAATAGATGGAGCTTATAAATAAAGGGGGCATCTTCCTCGGAAAATCTTACCAGCTGGACAGGATCACAGGGGGAGAGTTGATCCCTCAGAAAGCTGGATCCTAAGATATTTAAGCTTTAAAAATTCACCCCAACACCTTGCATTGTGTTTTGGAGTCCGGCATCTTAGGCCACCAGAAATCTAGGATTCTGTTTATAGCCTATCTGGGAAATGGTTACAGTGTCCATTTCATATTTCTGTGTGGAAATATTCACACAATATTTTAAAATAAAAGTCTGGGGTACTGAAAATGACATGGTACGTTTAGCACACTGCATTTAATTATCCCTTCATTGAGCAGTACATATGGAAAAAGTTAGTTGTGGAAGGCAGACAAGTGGGTCTCCTGGATGGCTTGATTCTTTTTTCACTGAAGGTTTTCTGCTTGTTTCATAGCCATATGCTCAGTGATTGAGGAAGGGAATCAAACAATTTCTAGCTAAAAATGAACTCCAGTGATGATCTAAATAATTCTGTGTTTGCTAGGGGTTAGAAAATGCAGTTTGTATTAACCTAGATAACGGGAATATTTTAGAAGTATTTTTTCCCTTTGTACAAGCTCAGAATCTGCATGCCTCCTCCAAAAGTTGTTTTCCTGCAGATTAATGAAACATCATGCATAAACTCCATTTCAAAAGAAAGCCTGTTTCCATGTATAAATTGGAATAAAATTTGAAAGGAAATGTTATCTCTAGATAGATCTTTTCAACTGTTTAGTTGAACTAGAGGATACTGAGAGTATCCTTGCAATTTTTGAAGAATACAGATACAGACATTAGAAGTCTCCAGTTTGATTTAAAGAAAATGTGGAGGAAGGGAGGGATAAATAGATTTAATGAAATGGAGAATCTTTTAATTTTTGAAAAACTTCATGAAACTGCTAAAGAATAAATTCAGCCTGAAGGTGGTTTTGAAGATCGACTTGGCATTTAGAACCATGTGTTTGGGTTTTTTTATTATTAATTTATAATTAATTAAATGTATATCTCCCCTCTTATAACATGTGAACTCAAGGCATACTGTTTCCTCTTCCTATTTTTCCCCACTGCATTTTAAAAAATATATTTTATTAAGAATTTTAATTGCAGTAGTAAAAACTAATACAAATTAAACTTAGAGAAGGAAAAGAATGGAAAGAAAGGATAGAAAGTGCAGGAAAAAAGAAGAAAAGAAGAACAGAAAGAATATAATAAAGAAAAAGAAAATAAATATATAAAGAAGTGACTTTTAACCTTCATCACAAGTATAAGTGGAATTTTTGGCACATATGGCTTCTCATGCAGGGTTAAGAAAAACAGAGCAAACCAGAATGATTCTACAGAAGGTCTGCTCTCCCATGCATCTGGCAACCCTGCAGAAGAATGGATCCCTTCTTATCACTTGAGGTTGAAAACTACAGATCTAGAGCACTCTGAAAGATGCATAAAGCACTATATAAATAAATATAGAGCATCATTTCCTGCGTCAGGGGAAATCAGTTCAGCCATTTTTACACATGTGCAGATGGGTGAATGACAGCCCTGAAAAAAAATCATTCAATTGGCAGCAAAGGGGGGGGGGGGGGGGGGGGG